TTACCCTAGACCAGTGGTCGGCAAACTGCGGCTCGTGAGCCACATGCGGCTCTTTGGCCCCTTGAGTGTGGCCACGAAGTTTCAATCGCACTGTATGTGCGCGCCCACATGTGGTATTTTGTGGAAGAGCCACACTTAAGGGGCCGCAGTTTGCCGACCACTGCCCTAGACCAGCGGTTCTCAACCTGTGGGTCGCGACCCCTTTGGCGGTCGAACGACCCTTTCACAGGGGTCGCCTAAGACCATCCTGCATATCAGATATTTACATTACGATTCATAACAGTAGCAACATTACAGTTATGAAGTAGCAATGAAAATAATAAATTTATTGGGTCACAACATGAGGAACTGTATTTAAAGGGCCAGAAGGTTGAGAACCACTGCCCTAGACATATAGCACAAACCCCAGTAGTCTGGCCGGCATCCTCCTGCCACTTGTTGACTGAGGTCAGCCCACCTCTCCAGTATTCTCATGTTCTCCATAGAACTTTGGAAAATAGGTTTGTGTGACCTGGGCCCTTTCCTTTCTTTAAAAGGATACAAAGAAACAAGGCTTCAAAAGTTGAAATGAAAATTAAGAGGATGACACGTTTCTAACTTGGCGGGTCAACCTGGGTATTTGGTGCAAGCTCTCTGAATAGTCATTATATGGCAGCTGTTTGGGCTGCCCTGTGCGTAAACCTAGGCAGAGCTGACTCTGAGGCTGAGGATGAAAGATAAGCCTTGACCGTAAGACAGGGGATGTCAGGCCGGCGTAGGAGTCACAGTTCCTGCAACAACTCATCGCAAGTCAAATTAAGGGAATAATGCAAGCCTAGTAGATATTTAATGAGAGATTATTTCTAGAGATTATAAGGATACAGAAATTGCAAATAAATCCCTGACCTTTCCTGAGCCTTGGCTCAGTGAAAGAGCTGAATCACCTGCTTGAGGGGATTAAGAAGAACCGCTTCCATCTGTCAGGCCGCTCAGACTTTTTCTGTCATTAGCAACTGTTTGGCGGTGATCCTGTCCTAAACCTTTTAGTGGGAACTCGATTTTCAGAGTAGGAGATCTCAATTAACTTAGATTAGGAACCTGCTAGGCAGAGATCAGGACGAATGATCTGCTAATGTATGCACTGTAGTCCCTATCATATTAGTGGTACTCAGGACACGTTAAATAAAGCAGTTGTTAATCATTTGTAACCTAATCATGACGTCAGCAGGAAACTGAGGTTGATGAGAGTAGAAGTCAAACCTGAGAGAGAGTAATAGGCACAGATGGAGAGACAGAGATGCAGGGAAGTGTGGGGCCGCAGGCAGTTATGTACCTTATAGCAGTTCCAGCTTAGAGAGCTAGAGCGATGGTGGCAAAGTTGTACTTCATGAGTTTCTTGTTGGGCACAGTGGTTTGACATGCATTCCATTTTTTAATACATTTTTATTTGTTTATAACTGCAATAATTATCAGCACTATGCAACATTATAGGCCAACAGAGCTCTTAATGTTTGACTTTGCAATATGTAAGCAATATATACATTGAATACTAATATATACTAATATATACCAATGAATACTACATTACCTGCATAATGTGTAAGGCCTTTATGTTTAACATCTGTGTAAGTTTATTTAAAGAAGGAGTTTGCTGGTTTAGAACAAATTGGAGAACTTCTGATGCTGGGAAAATCAAAGGATGAACATTTACTCAGATTTCGGGGGGCCTTGCTTTGCCGATTTCCAAAAGAAGTAATTGTAGTTAATGTAGGTTAGTGGAATTTAATTTTTTGGCAATGTACTTGGAAGGTTCTATTGTATTCTTTTCCATTACCTGTTACTTACCGAGGAAAGAATCTTGCTTCCTACAGTTCCACATGAAAAGACTCAGGGACTAATTTGCCTCTGTAAGGCTCTGTCTAGCTCTGTCATTTCTTCAGCTACTCGTGCTGATGGCTTTTTGAGTACGTATCTTCTTGTGACTGGGCTCATCACTGCCAGCTACCAGGTTATTTCTAATTTTCAAAACTTTATCAGTGTTCATGGGGTAAGGAAGCAAAATAATCATTTTTCTGAACAGAAGTTCATTGATGCTGTGTTCACAAACCTACTCTTAAAACATCCAAGTTTGGAATCAGCCGTAGCTGCTCACAGAACACTATGCAAAATGACAGTTCTCTCCCAGGCTTCTATGACTCTCATCCCTATGCAAGGATCCTCTTAAGAACCTCTCAAAGGAAGAACTGAAAGGCTTCAACTGACTGTTGAGTCAGTTATGAACATTTTGGAAACCTCCTTAAGTATAAAAAGTAATTTCCCCTCTGACAAATACATTCTAGTAGGCTCTGTTCTAACTACTGTAAAAAAGGAAGAAAAACCTCCCCTGCACCCGAAAGGATGCCCAGGATCCTTAGTCATCAGGGAAATGAAGTCAAAGCCACAATGAGGTACCACTTCACACCCACTAGAATGGCTATAATAAAAAAGACAATAACAAATGTTGGCAAGGAGTGGAGAAATTGGAACCCTCATTCATTGCCGGTGGGATTGTAAAATGGTGCAGTGCTTTAGAAAGCAGTTTGGCAGTTTCTCAAAAAAGTTAAGCATAGAGTCACTGTACAACCCAGCAATTTCACTCCTAGGCGTATACTGAAGAGAAATGAAAGTATGCCCACACAGAGACTTGTACACAGATGTTCCTAGCAGCATTTATTCATAATAGCCCAAAGGGGAAGCAGCAGCTGATGAATGGATACATGAAATGTGGTCTATCTAGACAATAGAATAGTATTTATAATAATAAAAGCGTAATATGCTAATTAGACCAGATGTCCTTCCAGATGTCCTTCCTTCCAGATAAAGCCACAGCAGTGTGGAGACAGCGGCAGAGGGCCCTGGCCAGGGTGTTGGGTGGTTGTTGCGGCAGAGGCAGCAGAGGCCCCCGGCAGTAGGGGCTGGGGCCAAGGCCCTTGCACGAATTTCGTGCATCAGGCCTCTAGTTTCGTCATTAAAAGAATGAAGTATTGATGTTACAGCAGAGACAAATCTTGAAAATATAATACTAAATGAAAGAAGCTAGACACAGAAGGCCACATATAGTATGATTCCAGTTACATAACATGTACAGAATAGGAAAATCTAGAGACAGAAAATATATTAGTGGTTTCTAGGGGCAGGAATAAGAGGGAAATAGAGAGTGACTGCTAATGCGTATGAGTTTTTTGTAGGGGGCAAAGAAAATGTTATAGAATTAGATAGTGGTGATTGATAACTTTATTAATATGCTAGAAATTAATGAATTGTGGGTGAACTCTGTGATATGTGAATTATATTTCAATGAAGCTATTTTAAAAAATCTTCCCCAAGGTTCCAATAATTATTTGGCCTGTGTATTATAATTTGTTATTAAGTTTAGGAAATGTCCATGGCATGAGTTAATTGAGTTTCACTTGGAAAAATAATTTTGATCTGGCTTCCAGCTTCCAGTCAGAAAGCCCAATATAACACAATTTGCAAAGTAAATACTTGGTTAATACTAGAAAAAGCAAGGGATTGGCTTAGTAGGCTTTTTACAGCTTTAAGGGAATGTAAGAGCAATGGTTTTGTATGCCAGTTGGTCTCCAGGTAGAAAAGCACTCTTTTCCTCCTTTTCTAGTACTATACTTACTATCCTAGAGACCAAGTGTGTCTATAATAAGTACCACTAAGCCCCAAGCATACATGTAAGAACAAGAGCTATTTCCCTTTGGGAAGAGAAGTTTTGGGAAATTAGCATTCCTTTCTAGTTTGATTTGGAGACTTCTCAGTGATTTTTTTTAAAAGGATTTTTATCTTCATTGGATCTAAGTTTACTCATAGACATTAAGAATTGGAGAAAGATTCCATTTGGATTAGATCCAAGATGAGTTCCAGTTCTCTCAGTGCTCAGAGTGTACAAGTTTATTTCTTGCCCTGGGATGATGACGAATCTTTTATAAATACTCACCTTCCTACCTTCTGCCATTTCCCTCTCTATTCTGAACATTCATTTGTAGAATGTTTTGTCCTGATATCCTAAGGAGGTCAAAGATGAACCCATTCTTAAAAATGACCACACGCATCTTATTACTGGGTAACCAGCGTGTGGGGATGAATTTTGGTGGGTTTCCAGCTTCGTTGTCAGGGTGGGAATTAGTTCTGTGCTGTGGAAAACGTTGCTAACTGTTGATCATCTGTTTTCTGAGTGACATTAGTGGGTTTGGGAGCAGATGGAAAACACGGTCACCACCTATTGAGTTACCACACAGAGCACACAGAGGCTGACTCTACTTATTATTGCCTTAGTTCTTCTGCCTCAGGTGGCTTCTCTGTTCTCGGCTGTTTTAATTTTCTTCTGGGTCATTTTTTTCTCCTTCTAGTAACCTGAGCAGTTTATTTCTCTCTTTAACTCAGGGTCACATTTAAGGCAGTTGGTCATACGGGTTCTGGGGTGAGTCTCCCACATATTAGACCTGCAACTTTGGTCAAGATACCTAGCTTTTGCCAAATCTCAGTTTCTTCATCTGTAATATGAGGCTAATGATAGGATCAGCCTAAAGGACTTGCTGGGAAGAAAATGAAATAATCTATGTCAATCACTTCTCCAACATTTATGCTTTTTGAAGGAGACCAACAAACAGTCCTCCAGCTCCTGATATTAACCAAACAATTTAAAGGATGCCTCGTTATTCCTTTGGTATAGTGCTCATCACTGTATGCTACAATTTCTTCAACTATACATTGATGATACTAGATAACCTTGCAGAGTTACTGTGAAAATTAAATGAGATAATATACACAAAATACTTAGAACTGTACCCAGCATGTGGTATGCTCTCAGTGAATAACAGCTTTAAAAAAAATTATTCCCATGCCTTTTGTGGGAAAAATTAAAAGGATATGTGGCCACACCATGGGACTTAGTCGTCTTGGGTTGGTCATGCCTTGTCCCAAGGTTGGTTTGCATGGCCAGCAACTTGAACTCTCTTCTCTTCCTCTTTCAGCTGCACAGTTGGACAGCATTGGCTTCAGCATAATCAAGAAATGCATCCACGCTGTGGAAACCAGAGGTAAGTAGTTCAGCAGATGGCATTGTTCTCAGCGAAGGTCACACATCTGGGGAGGTGTCAGACCTGAGACCTGCTACCTGCTGATTTCCGATTTTAAGTGACTCATGAACCCCCAAGTCCCATGGCCAGTGGGTTTCTATGAGTTGTGTTGCCCGGAAGCAGAGACTCTCAACCAATTTGGTGTCATTGACGTCTTTGATCTGGAGAAAGCTTTAAATGCATACATATCAAATACTTGGTATTAAAAGGAAACCAACTACTGAAGTTCAATTATTAAAGTACTAATAGTATGTGTTGCGCTGCAATAATACGTGTTTCTTTGTTAACACTGTAAATAAGTTAAAGTGGTGGGTTGACAAGTTGCTCCATTCAGAAATATTTCAAGGTGTCTATAACAATTGTAATATGTTATGAAAATATCTATGACTTCTGACCAAATTGCAGGTACTGCTAAATCTACTGTAATTTGTTGCTTATATTGTAATGGAAGGGAAATGCTTAATTTTCAGTTAGAAGTTAGTGAAAATAAAGCTGTAATTGTGTTCCTCAGTTCATAGACACCCTGAATTCCGTAGTGGACCTTTTAATGTCCATGGACCCCGGGTTAAGAACCTACTCTGGGTAGCTTGTTGCTGGGGACCATGCAGGCAGAAAGAAATGTCCAGCCCCCTAGGTTCCTGCAGTGGCACTGTGGTCAGCCCTGCCTATCACACATTGACCTTTCCTGGGTCCAGAGGAACAGGGTTTTGAGATCAGGGAAGTTGTTTCATCCCAATGGTCTCCATCCCCTCTTCTGAGGTGGCCACAAAGGTGATTCCTTGGTTCTAACAGTTTGGAGCTTTGAGTGCATTGGTCTGTTGAGTCCCTTACAAAAGCTGATAACTGTCTTCCCACTAGGCTTGATATGAGCCATTGTCAAAGTTGTGCATCTTATTTTTTCTACAGCCTCTCAACCCACCAGCCCTTTTTATTTGTTTGGAAGAAGTTCTACCACTTAAAGCAGGAGCCATAATTCTTGCCAGTTGAGAAATATAGGCATCTTCATAAAGGCTATAAAGCATTGAGTAGAGGGAGAGAAAAAAAATTAACCTTAAAAGCCTGTACTCCTATGTATCCAGTCAAAAAGTCTTTTATCCAACTTAGTTATTTTAATACTAGAGGCCCGGTGCACAAAAATTTATGCACTCAGGGAGGGCGGGGTCCCTCAGCCCGCCCTGTGCCCTCTCACAGTCTGGGACTCCTCGGGGGATGTCCACCTGCTGGCTTAGGCCCGCTCCCTGGGGGATCGGGCCTAAGCTGGCAGACATCCCTCTGGAAGCCCGGGAGCCCTTGGGGGATGTCCACTTGCCAGCAGGGAGCAGACCTAAGCTGCAGTCAGACATCCTTAGTGCTGCTGAGGAGGCGGGAGAGGCTCCCGCCACCACTGCTGTACTGGCAGCCATCAGCCTGGCTTGTGGCTGAGCAGAGCTCCCCCTGTGGGAGTGCACTGACCACCAGGGGGCAGCTCCTGCATTGAGCATCTGCCCCCTGGTGGTCAGTATGTGTCATAGTGACCAGTCATTCCCAGTTGTTCTGCTGTTAGGGTCAATTTGCATATTACCCTTTTATTATATAGGATAGAGGCCTGGTGCACGGGTTGGGGCCGGCTGGTTTGCCCTGAAGGGTGTCCTGGATCAGGGTGGGGGTCCCACTAGGGTGGCTGGTCAGCCTGGGTGAGGGGCTGATGGCTGTTTTCAGGCTGGCCACACTCCCTTCAGGGTAGGGGTCCCACTGGGGTGCCTGGCCAGCCTGGGTGAGGGGCTGATGGTTGTTTGCAGGCTGGCCAAGCCCCCCAGTGGGGAC